ATATGGCAGCTGGAACATCCAGGTTCAAGGGATTCTCTTCAGTTCTCCAGCTCACCTTTGCTACTCTCCCTTGACACATCGTGTCCATCTTCCCAGTTATTTTACGGGTATCCTTCAACTTTGCATTTGGCAGGAACCATTTTCTTGTTCTTTTATTTCTTTTCGACACTCGCCCGACTTTCAAATCCCGGAGATTAGATAATTCTGTCCACCATGCGTTTCTCGACCAGTGCAACTCTCTCAGCGGCTCTGCTTGCTACCAGCGTCACGGCGCAAGCTCCTGTTCTTGTTGATGTCCAGAGTCTGCTCCCGGCAGCCGGCACTCCCGCCATCTTTGACAAGACCACGATTATCCGGTCAACTTCCATCCTCACAACCACGGTCAAGTTGACCAGCTCAACGGGATTGGCCAACTCGACCATCAGCAGAACATCTAGCACTAGATCGTCCAGCAGCAGAACTGCTTCCGCTACCTCTATAACCTCGCCTACATCGATTCCGGGCATTACCGCCGACCAGCAGAATGCCGTAAACCTTCACAATGAGGCGCGAAAGCTTGTTGGATGTTCGCCTTTGACCTGGGACGCCGGTCTTGCCAACGATGCTCAAGTATACGCCAAGACCCTCGCGAGCATCGACAAGCTACAGCACGACGCGAACAGAGGAAATGAAGGCGAGAACCTCTACTACCAGTATGGCAGCGGCAGCCCCCCGTATGCTGCTGCTACCACCTGGTGGCTCAACGAGAAGCAATACTACACCGGGCAGGCTATCCCTCTGGTCAGTTCGAACGGAAAGCAGTTCTCAGACTATGGTCACTACAGTAAGTTACATCGTCCAAGAGCAGCTGTCATCTAAACGAAGAGCAACTTGCTGACAGCATCCAGCTCAATGCGTCTGGAAGACTACCACCAAGGTTGGAATGGCTACTGCACAGTCTGCCTCGGGTAAGACCTATGTGGTCGCTCGCTACTCACCAGCTGGCAACATGTAAGTTCCCGCCATTCATTTGCCTTGAGATTTTCCACTAACTTGATGAAGTGTTGGTCAAAAGCCCTACTAGTGATGAGGGTGAAAGTGTGGGAATATGGGCGTCGGTAGAGGGAGTTTGTGGTTGGAGCCTTATGTTGGCCGATTCTCAGTATAAAATTTGGCGGTGTCTGGCTAGCAGATTTGTTTTCTAGACATAGATTTCTAGACAAATTTAGATATTACATTCTACAATGGCCCCTAATCATACCGGTGATCCTTCACTCGTAGTCATGATAACAGGCGCGGCCAATATCACAGGAGAAAATAATAAGCCGGGATCAAGTCAATGCGGTTTATGTACTTATATTTCGAAAGCAATTGGAAACCACCTCGTATCGACGCTGTTGACTAGAAAAGTTCCATCTCCTCTGAACTTGGCGGTGACAGCGAAAATCGCATTCCGCTCCATGGTTCTCCCACAGCCCCTCATATGAAGATATGCGTCTGCGCAAAGAGACGATGCGCGATCTGGCCCGTATGGGCGCTCGTAGAAATTAAAATCCCTGTAGTAAGATAAGTTCCCTGGCACCCCTAAAGCTGTTAATCCTGAACATAGTCGGGGATTTTTGGCATCCAGTCGTTGTCCTCGTCTGCCTGTTGCTTCTCGATTCGGGAAGCCTCGCTGTTTAACTTGCCTCGCAGGAGCGACAGCCTTGCGTCACGCCTCATTCTTGTAGGTCGCTTTCCGGACTGTTCCTCCCGCCGAGCCCAATATTCGTCAATTAGATGGGCCGGAAGTAGGCTCGCTGGCTCCCATGTGTGCTTCGGATGTCCCACCCACTCGACCAAATATCGATCATCACCAGCTCGTGAAGCCCTGAAGTCCATGATCTCATGCACCAACCACATCCCATCGTTATTCATGAAGAGGTGCCTGCCGCCCTGGGAGGCCCAGTACTCAAAGACAGCAGACTTGGCGTCCTGGTGGAGGCACTCCTCAGACTCCCATGTTGTCGAGTTATCTTCCCATTGAACGAGCATCTCGAAGGCGTCAGTGCCATCGAGAGTGTCGACTTTTCGGTGGCTGCAGATGCTTTGGAACGCGTAGTAGGTTGAACCGTCTGGTGCGGCATCACCGTTGTCAGCATTCACGGAAAGGTGTCGTATGAAGGCGAGGAACAAGGCATACCTGCTTGAGAACCATTGGTGTCATCATTGGAAGGCTCTGTCAGCTGGGATTTGGGCGTCGACAAAGACTCTGGTTTGGGAAGCGACAAATTGCCGTTGCCACGGACTTTTGAGGGGGTATCCCACTTCATTTTCGCTGACTCCAGCTCGTGGTCGCGATCCCACGGTGCGTGGCATGGGTCAGGATGCGGATGCGGTGTCTCGGAAGGGGGATGCGCAGTGGAAGTTGAGATTAACCACGTCGTCGAAGAGATGAAAAGCTCACACAAGGTATGTACCGTCATGGGAAAATGGAAGGACCCCTGGGGGCAGGATCCAAGGCAGTTGCATCTTGCAGTAAGCTACCCAAGGTTGTTCCTGCTGGCACTTAGCAGGAAGGCTCTCGTCTCGTTGCTGCCGGTACAGTGCAGGTACTCTCAGAGGCTGTCATGTCGTGGGAAGAAAGCACCCAAGTTGTTACAGTGTACCTTCCTCATCTTACCTTAGGTATACTGCAGAAGGAAGGTCTGTCTTTGGGCAGGACCAGTCTGGGAATTCTCGAGATCTCTTTCCTTTCTTAGAGGCCCTCCGTTGCCCGTTCTTCCCCTCTGAACCTGCCATCTCTGTCCAATTCATCACCGTATTGATATGAAAAGAATAGCTAAAATTTAGCTCGAGACGACTGGGACAAGGGAACACATGCTGGTCATGTTCACACTGCACTCTCTCTCAAAGTGCAATCCCGTCCGATGATTCCGGGTATCGGCGCCGGTGGATCCACAGCGGCCTGGCATTGCAAGTCGCCTGAAAGGGACTAGCGCTGTCAGCCCTGGGCGTCTCGTGCTTTGCCGACGATCCTCCGAGGGATTCTCGGGTTTTCCTGTGTCCGGTGCGTGGTCCCCGCCCTCAGTCAGGTCCCGTCTGCATCCTCTCTCCCTCGCTGCCGCCCTGCCGATCTTACATCCTTCGACTCCTCGGTCCTCGCATCTTTTTCCGGCGCCGGCCCCTTTGCAACCAACCAATGCAGAAGCAGTCGAGATGTCCGATGTACCCCGACCTCCGCTCCTTTTCGAAACGGCTTGACCGTCGTGCGCTCGTCGAATGCACCCCAAATCCCCACTGAACCGACCAGCCCACGACCGAAGTCTTGATTGTCGATATATACTTCGAGCGGCTTTTTTTGGAACACCGAGCGCGAATCGCCTTCCGAATAAATGACAGATAAGCAATTGAAATCGAAGTTCTGCGTCGCGTTGGAGCCACGTGCGATTTCGCTGGCTGGGGAACCGACAAACAGTCGACGAAACCATTCGACGCTCCTACCACGGGACACCGGAAGACGTTCGATCTTCGATCTTCGATGACGACAATAAAAGGAGCCCACGTCAGGCCCTCTCTGGTTCGACAAGAATGCGTGGGGCAAAATGTCTGTCGGTTGTCGCATCGGCGGGGAGACAGCTTGCTGCACCGAATGCCGATACCGACCTCTCAGCGCTCTCTGTAGTTGTCGTCGTGAACCGACTTGCCCGAGTCGCCTGAACTATTGCGTGGACAGCATCTTGTTTGCAGCCGACGCTTCCCCACATGCCAGCTTCGCATATTCTTCGTGTCCACATGTGACCTTCGGCCAAGGTACTCTGATGGCCTCTCAACCTATACCAGTGCTGTTGTAGCAGCAAGAGATCTGGTAGAAGATCTCGGATCTATCCTTCAAACGAAAGCTGCAGCCAGACCGATGCACAGGATGACTGGAAAAACTTGCGAGGGGAGATTCTTCATGTGCATCCTCGTGAAAACCTTCACCTACACATACTCATACAGAACAATTCTTGTGATTTAGACCCCAAACTTGAATTCCCGGTACTTCTTCTGATAGTAGAACGTCGCCGCTGCACCTGCAAATGTGAGGGCCAGTGGTATGGGTGCTTTCCCTCCAGTCTTGATGGCCCTGGAGGCGCCGGCGCCAAGCAGCACGATGCTGTTTCCGAGAGCGAGTTCCGCGCCGTAGTCCTTGTTCTCCTTGAGGAGGTAACCTGGCAGAGCATTACTTCTTGCTCACCAGCTGTGACGGGGAACACTCCGCGACTTACCAGAGTACGCGTAGGCGGCTCCAAGTCCAAGACCCGCGATAAGCGACGGCTTGGACTGCGTCTTCAGGAAGCCGGCAGTGCCGCCGACGGCCACTGAAAACCATGTTAGGCATATGCACTATTGTCAATCGGGGAGATCATCACTCACAGAGGCCGGCAAGAGTAAAAGACGGGTGGTGAGCCATTGCGATAATTCGATTGATAGACTTGATGGGATGAACGTGAGAGGCGGCATCAAAGGCAAAAGCCGTTCATCCCGGCGGGAGCCGCTGGGGATTAGTAATGGTCCCGGCGGTAAAGCTTCGGCAATTTCGTCAACCTTGAGGTCGAGGTGGCTTCCTGACGTGATGGACCTCCAGGAGAATAACTCAACGAGCCACTCTATGCGTGTCTTTTCAGCGCCCTGGAGATCCCAGGTAATATCCCCGAAAGACTTATGATGGTTCATTAATGGAGTTATCACCGGTTTTCCTGGCTACATACCTACCTCACTCCACGCCCATGGATCCTGCCTCGACACAACTGTGACCTTCCTAGAAGCCCACGCCTCAGGCTCGCAAGTTGCGTCACGTTCGTCCTTCGCGCCTTAGAAGCCCATATTCGTGATCGGGTAAGAAAGCCTAACTGCCTTTGAAATAACCGTGTCGCTTCGCGTCACCTATCTGATGCTCACCCAGCGTGCTGCTACTATCGCGTTCAGGAGGAGTTCGTGGCCAGCCGACCCCACGCTGCGGGTCTTGGGCTGGACTACCATCCGCCTTGGTATCCACATCCGATATGGTGTAGTGGCCAACATGATGCCCTCTCATCTCAAATGAGAGGTTAGGCATAGCCCCGAGTTCGATTCTCGGTTTCGGAACATTTTTATCCTTTTGTGTGAATCGCTGAGCCACCTCCTACCCCTCCCTGTTTTTCTTTCGAATTTTATACAACACGTTCTCCAAAATTCGAAGACGTTTGCTTGCCTGCTAGTAAATTAATCTGGACAGGTGCGCTTTCGGCCTGTACTTTGTCTGCTATGACCACAGAAGGCTGCTGACAATCCAAGCCATTGGCAGGCAGCCACGGCGCGACTAGGCAGCCTTCTGAATTGGCCTCTGTGAGAACCGAATATTGGTAGCTAACATTGATGAGAAGAAGCCAGCCAAGGAGCTACTGACACTGACTGCACCTCCTCTTCAACTCTTCTCAATTCACGATGACGACTGCAAAGATCTCCCGCGTCCCTCAGATCCAGCTGCTCTGCATGGAAAAGCAGTTCGCTGTCGCGTTCGCCGAAGCACGCAAGATTTGGGAGCTGCATGAGTCGGTTTCCGTCCATGTTCACGAGTGCCCTCTCATTTATCTATCAGAAGATGTCCAATTCGACACCATCGTATCCCCTGCCAATTCGTACGGCCGCCTCGACGGCGCATTCGACGATGCCATCTCTCGCGCCTTGTCGCCTCGCGACGACTACCTCGCCCTGACGCACGTCGCCCAGCGACAGCTTTATGAACAATGGCGCGGCTTCGCGCCCCCTGGCACATGCACGCTGGTCCGCATCCCCGACGAGTTTCGCGCCCGCTCTCGCAACGTCTGGGGCACTCGTCGCGTCGCGCTCTGCCCCACGATGCGAACGCCCACGAACGTCACCTGGGACCGGGAAATCGTGTACGAATGTGTATGGAGCTTGCTTTGCGCCATTGACAACCATAACCGCGACGTCCGAGAAGGCAAGACCGCAGAGTGCGAGGAGATTCGCAGCGTGCTCATGACTCCGCTGGCGACGGGTGTAGGACGTGTGAGCCCCGAGAAGTGGGCTTCGCAGGCCGTCCTGGCAATCAATCACTTCGTCCAGGCCTCTGAGAACCCCGAGAAATGGAGCAAACTTGACTGGGCTGATTTTGACGGGCCTTGTGAAGAGGTGGCGGCTACTTGGCGAGACACACAGACTTGATGGGGCGCATGGTGTCGTGCGGACCCCGGCGATGGTGTACACACCTCGATCTTCGGCCCTGCGGCAAGACGCGAGACATGCAGGCGATCACCAAAGTTTCAATTTCTAGACTACTTCTTTTCAATCTTGTACTCGTGCATATGTATCTATTAATCAGCGCGACCTGTCTAGTCACATGTGGCACTTGAGTGCTTGGGGATCCATCGAACGAAATTGGTGAGACACGAGTTGCGACCTCTTCTTCGTCAGAACCGGTTTCTGCTGCCGTAAATGCACCTGCGTACTATCGCTTATGAGAGAGAATAACTTTGCACGTCTTGCCCCGCGGCTCAATCAGGACCAAGTTATCCATCTCCATGCTCTCAGGCGTTGTCGCTGGAGAAAGCTTGGCGCCTTGGAACTTGCGAAAGAACATGGTGATTCCATAGCGAAGCTCCATTTCTGCCAAGTGCCTACCAATGCACACTCGAGACCCCGCTCCGAACGGCGTGAACGCGGCCTTGGCGGTCTCCGAGTTGGTGCTCTCCCCGTCAGGCATCCATCGAGAGTAGTCAAAACTGGAATCGTGTTAATGCTTGAAAATCATGCCGGCAGGGACCAACTCATACCTTTCTGGGTTACTGAAGTTCTCTGGGTCTCGATGCAAAGTCCACGATTGGGTTGCAACATCGGTTCCAGCGGGGAGATGGTAGCCGCCAAGCTGGATGCCGCCGGTAGGAACGACGCGCGGAAGTGGCGTAGGCGCGGCGCCATAGAGTCGCAAAGTCTCTTCTATCACAGCGTGAAGTACGGGAAGCCTCTCCAATTCCGCATCAGTGAAATTGTCACTAAGCCCAAGGACTTCATTCTCCAAAGCAGTCTGCAGCTCCGGGCGCAACAAGACAGCCCAAATACCGTACGTCAAGGTGTTAGAAGTGGTATCGGTACCGGCGATCATGAAGGCTGCAGCTTCGACGCAGATGTCCATATCTGTCAGAGAACCTTCGTCCTTCTCTGCTTGGAAGAGGACCTTGGAGAAGAGATTCGAGGCCTGCGACGCCGCTGCTTGCTTGCTGTTCTTGACGGCGATACGGCCCTTGTCGAGCAGTACCTTGTAGGAGCTGAACATTCTCAGACTTCCAATGAAAGGAAGCCGTTTGGTGACCGCATAAAGCCATGGAAAAGACAATGCGGTGAAGGCTGCGGTGTTGGCGAAGTTGACCTCCTCGAACCACGGGTCTTCCTACACAAAATCGTCAGACTGAAACCAGTTCGAGAGGATCGGCGATGTCCTACCTTGCCGGCCTTCAAAGCGTCAAAAGACTCTCCAAACATGAGCTTCGAAACAACATCGCATGCCATGAGAATCCACCACTTGCGCATATCTACTTCGCCGCTGGCAATCTTTGCGTCGATGGTCATGCCCTCGAGGGCCATTGTGACCTTCTCACGCACCATGTCTTCCCAGTCTGCACGGAGTGAGGAGGATGTGAAGCCCCTACCCAGGAGCTTGCGTCTCTGAGAGTGGGCATGCTGGTCGGTCATTTGGAACAAGCCGTACGGAGGGCTGCCGGCCTCGGTTGGCCCGAAGTAGTGGTAGTATTCGGCTTTCGTAAACTGGCTTCCGACCTTGTGGATGGTCTTGAAGGCCTTCACGTCTGACACAAAGACCTGGTCTGGTGATGCACGTACAAAGGGGCCATATTGTTGGTGCAGACGGTGGTAATACTGAACTTGCTGCCGCTTGAGGGTCGCGATAGTGCCAGGCAAGCCGGTAAATTTCGCGTACCAAGGACCGGGGATTGCGTTCAAGGGGTTGGTGAAAATCTGAGGAAGGTCAGAAGAAAGATATTAAGTTTGGGATTGTGCAAGGCAAACCTGGTAGAGTTTGATCAGTATATAGACTGCCGATGTGGCGGCAAGCAGGGGAACGAAAGTCAAAGTCATTTCCGTGGCATATGACAGGGGACTATTGTAGAAAGTTTAGTTACAGAGTTTCGTAGCTTTCGCAATGACCTAATGAGGTCTTGAGACGAACGAATCTATATAAATGACTATTTCTCAGTCCGTATCGTCTCCTGCTGACAATGATGCGCTTGCACGATGTCGACGTCAGCACTTGTCGGCGCTCGGTAGTATGGGCGGACTCCACATGACGCCGGACTTGGAGAACCGTAAGAAGACCGACATTGCACCGATCGAGTAGGCCACCCACAACGTCCACATTGGTAATGCTGCCAGACGGCCTGGAGGTATCGCGGCATCCGGAATTTTTCCCTCGTTCAGAGTCTTGCCAAGATGTACCGCGCGCTTTCGTGCTTATGTTCTTTGACCGACGTCGCGAAAGAGTGGAAGGCACACCGCTCGCTGGATGCCGTGACCCGAGCACGAGAATTCTGATGTATCTGCTTCTGGAACAACTCTTCGGTAAATTTCCAGCGGTGGGATTCGAGCTCTTGCTTCACACGCTATGCTCCATAGAAGTCGAAATGAAGTGAAAACCCTGTGGCTTCGACGGCGAAGAGGGTGCCGTCATATGCCGGGCCTTCCCGTAGAGCCTCCAACTCGGCGACTGCTGCATCTGCAGGTGACTTCGAGCGATCTTGGAGGGATGCGAGTGGGTTAAGGTGCCTGTCATCGGCTGCGCAACCGCTCACCTGCGCACTTGGGCGACTAGTTACACCCGCATTTCTCTTATAGAAATTGAGCGTATCTCGCCGTTATCCTCCGAGCTGCGTGAAGTGAGGTCTCTTGAATCTTGTTGCACAGAAACTTTAGGAAACCATCTGTTCATGTAGTTGCCTTTAGGTATGTGAAATCGGAAGTCGTCTAAGGTCCGAACCGCCCTTCGTAGTTGGGCAGAGCCGAAGGGCGCCTTGGCTTCTACAACAAATGGCCCAGGTCCAAGAATCCTTTTTATCTGCAACTCCGACCCCTTATCTTGCTGGGGCGTTGTCGTATGTCAGCCATCTCTTTGACTTAAACATCACGACACTTTGGTCTTGATAATGCGTCCCGGCAACGAAGCTTTTAACGACACACAAAATTGAGGCCGTTAGACGATGCTGCCGATCCGAGCGTGTCCAAATTGGAAACAATCAAGGAGTCAACCGGTGAGACTATCAAGGCAGACCCACGAATAGACAGACAGAAAAAACAAAGAGAAGCACGTTGAACATTCTCATTATCATGGGGATTACTTCGGATCTTGAAGGCGGTATCGCTGCTGTATTCGTGAGGGCTTCTTAACGCGTTCCTCCAAAAGCCAAGTTTGACAGACGTATTTTGCTTCAACCTCCTGTACACACAGGCAATATTCCCAGCAAAGCCTCCGTCCTGCTACCCGGACATGCCCGACTGGCCAATACTAAAATGACGACACCATTCGTGAAATATCTACCTAGACCTGTGCCAGATGTCTGCTCGCTGCTTGAACTTTGTCAATGAAAGCCAAACGATAGGTTTGGAACTCGTTCTCGGCGTTTTGTACAGCCTCATCGACGTTACGTTTCGCCTCTGCCAGTAGCTTGAGGTCAGACTCAATAGCATCGAAACCTCTCTCGCAGTTCCGGCCCTCTTTGATGCTTGACCAGGCCTTGTCCATTTCATCCCTAAGGTCCATCATCCGCGTCTCGACGAGAATCTTGGTCCCCTCAAGTAGTCCGATGCGTCGACCACAAACCAATCCGAAGTCAAGAAGAGTATCAGCGAAAACAGAGACCGGGGTCTCAACCGCATCGTTGGGGCTATTCTCCAGCATAGGACCACTGCCATTTGGGTCTTCCAAAACCGATCCTGGCGTAGCATTGAGGTCGAGGCGGTCGGAAATACTTCTGCCAGGAGAAATTCCCCGCGAAGTACTCGAATCTGCTATGTTGCGTGTAGGGGTGGAAGTGAGACGTAAGAAACTCTCGGTGCCTCCAGTCGAGTCGTCGGATTCT